GGCCTTGGAGTTAGTTTGTTTGTTTGTGAATTTTGCGTGAAGCTACACGAGAACTACCTGCGCTAGCCGTCCCTAATTTAGCAGTGTAAGACTAGAGGGAAGGCAGCTAGTCATTACCACACACCGCCAACTCTTGGGCTACTCTTTTACCAACGAATAGTGGGATTGACCATCACATTATAACGCCCCCACGGCTGAAAGGGCGAGCATGTTTGGTGGGACGGGAATTCGAACCCACGACCCGCAGATTGCGAGTCAAGCACCCTAACCACCTGGTCATGCCGGGCACCTTGAAGTTATAGGACAATATTTACTTTAAAATGGAGCTATAGGACAATATTAACTATTATACTGGAGTTATTGGACAATATTTACTATTAAAATGGAGTTGTGGGGCAATATTTACTATTAAAATGGAGTTATGTGACAATATTTACTATTGAAATGGAATTGTAGAACAATATTTACTATTGAAATGGAGTTATGTGACAATATTTACTATTGAAATGGAGTTGTAGACAATATTTACTATTGAAATGGAGTTATAGGACAATATTTACTATTGAAATGGAGTTATAGGACAATATTTACTATTAAAATGGAGTTATGTGACAATATTTACTATTGTAGACTGCTTCAGTTCTAGCAGACAAGCATCTCTAGGCTGCTTCAGTTGTAGCAGACAAATCTCTTTGCACTTTTCATGCTGTAACATACAAACATTTTTAGATTGTTACTGTTAGAGTAGACGTTAGAGCTTAATATTAACATATGATATATAGTTAAAATAAATAGTTCAATAAAGTCAAAATTACTTAATTAATAACTAACTAACATATAAAATATAGTGGCAGGTTACTGCTGACGGATTGTCTTCCTTTGGTCAATGGTTCGAAACTAGGGACGACACCACCCTATTTGGACTGCGCACTGACGAACGTGCGCGACAGGACTATACAATTGGAGAGCCTGTGCTTTGGATGCTGAAATCTTCTCTAACGAGTTACCATAATTATAACCATGAAATTCACCTTAACCTGTCAACAAGATACGCATTTTAACAGTAAATATTGTCACATAACTCCATTTTGATAGGAAATATCGTCACATAACTACACTTTAATAGTAAATATTCTCACATAACTCCATTTCAATAGTAAATATTGTCCTATAACTCCATTTCTATAGTAAATATTGTCCTATAACTCCATTTCAATAGTAAATATTGTCCTATAACTCCATTTCAATAGTAAATATTGTCACATAACTCCATTTGAGATGCTTGTCTGCTTGAACTGAAGCAGTCTAAAGATGCTTGTCTGCTAGAACTGAAGCAGTCTAAAGATGCTTGTCTGCTAGAACTGAAGCAGTTTAAAGATGCTTGTATGCTAGAACTGAAGCAGACTAAAGATGCTTGTCTGTTAGAATTGAGGCAGTTTAAAGATGCTTGCCAGCTAGAACTGAAGCAGTCTAAAGATGCTTGTCTGCTAGAACTGAAGCAGTCTAAAGATGCTTGTCTGCTTGAACTGAAGCAGTCTAAAGATGCTTGTCTGCT